AGAACCACAAAGTCCTTCAGTGGGTTAGTGTTCTTCTCTAAAACAGACAGGAACATTTTAAACAAGTCATGATCTTTTCCTGTTTTTCTCTCTGGTCTCTCACTGGTCTCTCACTGGTCTCTCACTGGTCTCTCACTGGTCTCTCACTGGTCTCTCTCTGATCTCTCACTGGTCTCTGGTCCCTCTCTGGTCTCTCACTGGTCTCTCACTGGTCTCTCACTGGTCTCTCACTGGTCTCTGGTCCCTCTCTGGTCTCTCTCTGGTCTCTGGTCCCTCTCTGGTCTCTCACTGGTCCCTCTCTGGTCTCTCACTGGTCTCTGGTCCCTCTCTGGTCTCTCAATGGTCTCTCACTGGTCTCTCTCTGGTCTCTCACTGGTCTCTCTCTGGTCTCTCACTGGTCTCTGGTCCCTCTCTGGTCTCTCACTGGTCCCTCTCTGGTCTCTCACTGGTCTCTGGTCCCCCTCTGGTCTCTCTCTGGTCTCTGGTCCCTCTCTGGTCTCTCAATGGTCTCTCACTGGTCTCTCTCTGGTCTCTCACTGGTCTCTCTCTGGTCTCTCACTGGTCTCTGGTCCCTCTCTGGTCTCTCTCTGGTCTCTCACTGGTCTCTGGTCCCTCTCTGGTCTCTCAATGGTCTCTCACTGGTCTCTCTCTGGTCTCTCACTGGTCTCTCTCTGGTCTCTCACTGGTCTCTGGTCCCTCTCTGGCCTCTCTCTGGTCTCTTACTGGTCTCTGGTCTCTCTCTGGTCTCTCTCTGGTCTCTCTCTGGTCTCTCTCTGGTCCCTCTCTGGTCTCTCTCTGGTCTCTCTCTGGTCCCTCTCTGGTCTCTCTCTGGTCTCTCTCTTGGTCTCTCTCTGGTCTATCTCTGGTCCCTCTCTGGTCTCCCTCTGGTCTCTCTCTGGTCTTTGGTCTCTCTCTGGTCTCTCTCTCTGGTCTCTCTCTTGTCTATGGTCTCACTCTGGTCTCTCTCTGGTCTCTCTCTGGCCTCTCTCTGGTCTCTCTCTGGTCTCTCTCTGGCCTCTCTCTCTGGTCTCTCTCTGGTCTCTCTCTGGTCTCTCTCTGGTCTCTCTCTGGTCTCTCTCTTGGTCTCTCTCTGGTCTCTCTCTGGTCCCTCTCTGGTCTCTCTCTGGTCTCTCTCTGGTCTTTGGTCTCTCTCTGGTCTCTCTCTGGTCTCTCTCTCGTATTTGGTCTCACTCTGGTCCCTCTCTGGTCTCTCTCTGGTCCCTCTCTGGTCTCTCTCTCGTCTTTGGTCTCTCTCTGGTCTCTCTCTGGTCTCTCTCTGGTCTCTCTCTGGTCTCTCTCTGGTCTCTCTCTGGTCTCTCTCTTAGTCTCTCTCTCTCTCTCTGGTCTCTGTCTGGTCTCTCTCTGGTCTCTCTCTGGTCTCTTTCTCTGGTCTATCTCTCTGGTCTCTCTTTGGTCTCTCTCTGGTCTCTCTCTTGGTCTCTCTCTGGTCTCTCTCTGGTCTCTCTCTGGTCTCTCTCTGGTCTATCTCTCTGGTCTCTCTCTGGTCCCTCTCTGGTCTCTCTCTGGTCTCTCTCTGGTCTCTCTCTGGTCTCTCTCTGGTCTCTCTCTGGTCTCTCTCTGGTCTCTCTCTGGTCTCTCTCTGGTCTCTCTCTCTTGGTCTTTCAGTCCAAGTTCAAGCTCTTTTCATACTTTGGAAAATACACTCAACCAGGACCAGAACCAGACCAGAATAAGACCAGAACCAGGACGGACACAAAAACCAGAACAGACCAGGACCAGGACAAGACCAGATCAGGACCAGAACCAGGACAAGATCAGACTAAGACCATATGCAATAATAAACACATAAATATATAAATGATTAAACCGAGATTACGATAACTGCACACTTCCTCTTGGACCATAAAGCTGCACCTTGGACCAGGATCCAGACACCAGCAGAGACCTGCTCGACCGGACTGACGAAGTGAGTATTTCTCCTCATTTATGTTCAAATAACAGGGATCAAGACCAGGATAAGGACCAAGACCAGGACCAGGACCAGGACAAAGACCAAGACCAGGATAAGGACCAGGACCAGAACCACAAAGTCCTTCAGCGGGTTAGTGTTCTTCTCTAAAACAGACAGGAACATTTTAAACAAGTCATGATCTTTTCCTGTTTTTCTCTCTGGTCTCTCACTGGTCTCTGGTCTCTCACTGGTCTCTGGTCTCTAACTGGTCTCTCACTGGTCTCTCACTGGTCTCTGGTCCCTCTCTGGTCTCTCTCTGGTCTCTCACTGGTCTCTGGTCCCTCTCTGGTCTCTCACTGGTCTCTCTCTGGTCTCTCACTGGTCTCTGGTCCCTCTCTGGTCTCTCTCTGGTCTCTGGTCCCTCTCTGGTCTCTCAATGGCCTCTCACTGGTCTCTCTCTGGTCTCTCACTGGTCTCTCTCTGGTCTCTCACTGGTCTCTGGTCCCTCTCTGATCTCTCAATGGTCTCTGGTCCCTCTCTGGTCTCTCACTGGTCTCTCTCTGGTCTCTCAATGGCCTCTCTGGTCTCTCTCTGGTCTCTCACTGGTCTCTCTCTGGTCTCTCACTGGTCTCTGGTCCCTCTCTGGTCTCTGGTCCCTCTCTGGTCTCTCAATGGTCTCTCACTGGTCTCTCTCTGGTCTCTCACTGGTTCCTCTCTGGTCTCTCTCTCTGGTCTCTCTCTCTGGTCTCTCACTGGTCTCTCTCTGGTCTCTCACTGGTCTCTCTCTGGTCTCTCACTGGTCTCTCACTGGTCTCTCTCTGTTCTCTCACTGGTCTCTCACTGGTCTCTCTCTGGTCTCTCTCTGGTCTCTCAATGGTCTCTCACTGATCTCTCTCTGGTCTCTCTCTGGTCCCTCTCTGGTCTCTCACTGGTCTCTCTCTGGTCTCTCACTGGTCTCTGGTCCCTCTCTGGTCTCTCTCTGGTCTCTGGTCCCTCTCTGGTCTCTCAATGGTCTCTCACTGGTCTCTCACTGGTCTCTCTCTGGTCTCTCACTGGTCTCTCTCTGGTCTCTCACTGGTCTCTGGTCCCTCTCTGGTCTCTCTCTGGTCTCTCACAGGTCTCTGGTCCCTCTCTGGTCTCTCAATGGTCTCTCACTGGTCTCTCTCTGGTCTCTCACTGGTCTCTCTCTGGTCTCTCGCTGGTCTCTCTCTGGTCTCTCTCTGGTCCCTCTCTGGTCTCTCTCTCTGGTCTCTCTCTGGACTCTCTCTGGTCTCTCTCTGGTCTCTCTCTGGTTCCTCTCTGGTCTCTCTCTCTGGTCTCTCTCTCTCTGGTCTCTCACTGGTCTCTCTCTGGTCTCTCACTGGTCTCTCTCTGGTCTCTCACTGGTCTCTCACTGGTCTCTCTCTGGTCTCTCACTGGTCTCTCTCTGGTCTCTCACTGGTCTCTCTCTGGTCTCTCACTGGTCTCTCACTGGTCTCTCTCTGGTCTCTCACTGGTCTCTCTCTGGTCTCTCACTGGTCTCTCTCTGGTCTCTCACTGGTCTCTGGTCTCTCTCTGGTCTCTCACTGGTCTCTGGTCCCTCTCTGGTCTCTCTCTGGTCTCTCTCTGGTCTCTCACAGGTCTCTGGTCCCTCTCTGGTCTCTCAATGGTCTCTCACTGGTCTCTCTCTGGTCTCTCACTGGTCTCTCTCTGGTCTCTCGCTGGTCTCTCTCTGGTCTCTCTCTGGTCCCTCTCTGGTCTCTCTCTCTGGTCTCTCTCTGGTCTCTCTCTGGTCTCTCTCTGGTCTCTCTCTGGTTCCTCTCTGGTCTCTCTCTCTGGTCTCTCTCTCTGGTCTCTCTCTGGTCTCTCTCTCTGGTCTCTCACTGGTCTCTCTCTGGTCTCTCACTGGTCTCTCACTGGTCTCTCTCTGGTCTCTCACTGGTCTCTCTCTGGTCTCTCACTGGTCTCTCTCTGGTCTCTCACTGGTCTCTCACTGGTCTCTCTCTGGTCTCTCACTGGTCTCTCACTGGTTCTCTCTGGTCTCTCACTGGTCTCTCTGGTCTCTCTCTGGTCTCTCTCTGGTCTCTCACTGGTCTCTCACTGGTCTCTCTCTGGTCTCTCACTGGTCTCTCACTGGTCTCTCTCTGGTCTCTCACTGGTCTCTCACTGGTCTCTCTCTGGTCTCTCACTGGTCTCTCTGGTCTCTCACTGGTCTCTCTCTGGTCTCTCACTGGTCTCTCACTGGTCTCTCTCTGGTCTCTCACTGGTCTCTCACTGGTCTCTCTCTGGTCTCTCACTGGTCTCTCACTGGTCTCTCATGGTCTCTCTCTGGTCTCTTTCTGGTCTTTCTCTGGTCTCTCTCTTGGTCTTTCAGTCAAATATGAAAAGTAAAATATATCTGTTTTGAACATGACTCAATGTGCACAAACTGTACTCAAACAGTTTTCATACTTTGGAAAATACACGCAACCAGGACCAGACCAAGACCAGAACCAGACCAGGACCAGGACAAGACCAGACTAAGACCATATGCAATAATAAATGTATTAATGATTAAGCCGAGCTCACGATAGCTGCACACTCTTGGGGCCATAAAGCTGCACCTTGGACCTGGATCTAGACAGAAGCAAGACCAAGACCAGAACCAAGACCAGGACCAGAACCAGGACCAGACCCAAGACCAGGGTGTGTGTGTGATAACCTGGCTCAAGGCCATGACAAATGTGGACCCAGACATCAACATTTTAAAAGAAGGTTAACTCAAGTATAACCAAATAAAAGTAACAATGTGAGGTGTGTCTGTCTGTAGTGTCAGTGGTGTGTGTCAGTGGATGGTTGTGTGTCCGTATGGTGAGGTGTGTCTGTCTGTAGTGTCAGTGGTGTGTGTCAGTGGATGGTTGTGTGTCCGTATGGTGAGGTGTGTCTGTCTGTAGTGTCAGTGGTGTGTGTCAGTGGATGGTTGTGTGTCCGTATGGTGCGATGTGAGGTGTGTCTGTCTGTAGTGTCAGTGGTGTGTGTCAGTGGATGGTTGTGTGTCCGTATGGTGCAATGTGAGGTGTGACTGTCTGTAGTGTCAGTGGTGTGTGTCAGTGGATGGTTGTGTGTCCGTATGGTGCGATGTGAGGTGTGTCTGTCTGTAGTGCCAGTGGTGTGTGTCAGTGGATGGTTGTGTGTCCGTATGGTGCGATGTGAGGTGTGTCTGTCTGTAGTGTCAGTGGTGTGTGTCAGTGGATGGTTGTGTGTCCGTATGGTGCGATGTGAGGTGTGTCTGTCTGTAGTGTCAGTGGTGTGTGTCAGTGGATGGTTGTGTGTCCGTATGGTGCGATGTGAGGTGTGTCTGTCTGTAGTGTCAGTGGTGTGTGTCAGTGGATGGTTGTGTGTCCGTATGGTGCGATGTGAGGTGTGTCTGTCTGTAGTGCCAGTGGTGTGTGTCAGTGGATGGTTGTGTGTCCGTATGGTGCGATGTGAGGTGTGTCTGTCTGTAGTGTCAGTGGTGTGTGTCAGTGGATGGTTGTGTGTCCGTATGGTGCGATGTGAGGTGTGTCTGTCTGTAGTGTCAGTGGTGTGTGTCAGTGGATGGTTGTGTGTTCGTATGGTGCGATGTGAGGTGTGTCTGTCTGTAGTGTCAGTGGTGTGTGTCAGTGGATGGTTGTGTGTCCGTATGGTGCGATGTGAGGTGTGTCTGTCTGTAGTGTCAGTGGTGTGTGTCAGTGGATGGTTGTGTGTTCGTATGGTGCGATGTGAGGTGTGACTGTCTGTAGTGTCAGTGGTGTGTGTCAGTGGATGGTTGTGTGTCCGTATGGTGCGATGTGAGGTGTGTCTGTCTGTAGTGTCAGTGGTGTGTGTCAGTGGATGGTTGTGTGTCCGTATGGTGAGGTGTGACTGTCTGTAGTGTCGTTGTGTGTCCGTATGGTGCGATGTGAGGTGTGTCTGTCTGTAGTGTCAGTGGTGTGTGTCAGTGGATGGTTGTGTGTCCGTATGGTGCGATGTGAGGTGTGTCTGTCTGTAGTGTCAGTGGTGTGTGTCAGTGGATGGTTGTGTGTCCGTATGGTGCGATGTGAGGTGTGTCTGTCTGTAGTGTCAGTGGTGTGTGTCAGTGGATGGTTGTGTGTCCGTATGGTGCGATGTGAGGTGTGTCTGTCTGTAGTGTCAGTGGTGTGTGTCAGTGGATGGTTGTGTGTCCGTATGGTGCGATCTGAGGTGTGTCTGTCTGTAGTGTCAGTGGTGTGTGTCAGTGGATGGTTGTGTGTCCGTATGGTGAGGTGTGTCTGTCTGTAGTGTCAGTGGTGTGTGTCAGTGGATGGTTGTGTGTTCGTATGGTGCGATGTAAGGTGTGTCTGTCTGTAGTGTCAGTGGTGTGTGTCAGTGGATGGTTGTGTGTCCGTATGGTGCGATGTGAGGTGTGTCTGTCTGTAGTGTCAGTGGTGTGTGTCAGTGGATGGTTGTGTGTCCGTATGGTGCGATCTGAGGTGTGTCTGTCTGTAGTGTCAGGGGTGTGTGTCAGTGGATGGTTGTGTGTCCGTATGGTGCGATGTGTGACTGTCTGTAGTGTCAGTGGTGTGTGTCAGTGGATGGTTGTGTGTCCGTATGGTGCGATGTGAGGTGTGACTGTCTGTAGTGTCAGTGGTGTGTGTCAGTGGATGGTTGTGTGTCCGTATGGTGCGATGTGAGGTGTGACTGTCTGTAGTGTCAGTGGTGTGTGTCAGTGGATGGTTGTGTGTCCGTATGGTGCGATGTGAGGTGTGTCTGTCTGTAGTGTCAGTGGTGTGTGTCAGTGGATGGTTGTGTGTCCGTATGGTGCGATCTGAGGTGTGTCTGTCTGTAGTGTCAGTGGTGTGTGTCAGTGGACGGTTGTGTGTCCGTATGGTGCGATGTAAGGTGTGTCTGTCTGTAGTGTCAGTGGTGTGTGTCAGTGGATGGTTGTGTGTCCGTATGGTGCGATCTGAGGTGTGTCTGTCTGTAGTGTCAGTGGTGTGTGTCAGTGGATGGTTGTGTGTCCGTATGGTGAGGTGTGTCTGTCTGTAGTGTCAGTGGTGTGTGTCAGTGGATGGTTGTGTGTCCGTATGGTGCGATGTGTGTGTCTGTCTGTAGTGTCAGTGGTGTGTGTCAGTGGATGGTTGTGTGTCCGTATGGTGAGGTGTGTCTGTCTGTAGTGTCAGTGGTGTGTGTCAGTGGATGGTTGTGTGTCCGTATGGTGCGATGTGAGGTGTGTCTGTCTGTAGTGTCAATGGTGTGTGTCAGTGGATGGTTGTGTGTTCGTATGGTGCGATGTGAGGTGTGTCTGTCTGTAGTGTCAGTGGTGTGTGTCAGTGGTAGGTTGTGTGTTCGTATGGTGCGATGTGAGGTGTGTCTGTCTGTAGTGTCAGTGGTGTGTGTCAGTGGATGGTTGTGTGTCCGTATGGTGCGATGTGAGGTGTGTCTGTCTGTAGTGTCAGTGGTGTGTGTCAGTGGATGGTTGTGTGTCCGTATGGTGAGGTGTGTCTGTCTGTAGTGTCAGTGGTGTGTGTCAGTGGATGGTTGCGTGTTCGTATGGTGCGATGTGAGGTGTGTCTGTCTGTAGTGTCAATGGTGTGTGTCAGTGGATGGTTGTGTGTTCGTATGGTGCGATGTGAGGTGGTGTCTGTCTGTAGTGTCAGTGGTGTGTGTCAGTGGATGGTTGTGTGTCCGTATGGTGCGATGTGAGGTGTGTCTGTCTGTAGTGCCAGTGGTGTGTGTCAGTGGATGGTTGTGTGTTCGTATGGTGCGATGTGAGGTGTGTCTGTCTGTAGTGTCAGTGGTGTGTGTCAGTGGATGGTTGTGTGTCCGTATGGTGCGATGTGAGGTGTGTCTGTCTGTAGTGTCAGTGGTGTGTGTCAGTGGATGGTTGTGTGTTCGTATGGTGTGATGTGAGGTGTGACTGTCTGTAGTGTCAGTGGTGTGTGTCAGTGGATGGTTGTGTGTTCGTATGGTGCGATGTGAGGTGTGTCTGTCTGTAGTGTCAGTGGTGTGTGTCACCCACAGCTCCACCCACAGCTCCACCCACAGCTCCACCCACAGCTCCACCCACAGCTCCACCCACAGCTCCACCCACAGCTCCACCCACAGCTCCACCCACAGCTCCACCCACAGCTCCACCCACAGCTCCACCCACAGCTCCACCCACAGCTCCACCCACAGCTCCGCCCACAGCTCCACCCACAGCTCCACCCACAGCTCCACCCACAGCTCCACCCACAGCTCCACCTGCAGACAGATATTACAAGGCAGTCCTAGAGCACGACCACAGAGAGGAGGAAGGGGTCGTGACAATGTGTGTGTGTGTGTGTGTGTGTGTGTGTCTGTCTGTGTGTTGTTAACCTATGCTTTTATCTGCTGTATCTGTGTGAGTCCCTTGTGGCCCCGCCCCTTGTAGAAATTGAATGAAGAGTCTTCACATGAAATCTTCTAATTCCAGCCTCTACAACATGGAGCCACGAGGACCTGGACCCAGACCTGGACCTGGACCCAGCTCTCAGTCTCTTAAAAGTGACCGGTCCAAAACCCCTCCTCCTGAGTTCAGAGAAGATGGTCCTGAAGATCAGAGGTGAGACTTGAACCCATGTTGTTAAGACAGTGCTGTGTCTCGTCCTTCATCAAAGACTGTGGTTCTGTGGCACTTTGTAAATAGACAGCATGAATGTAGAATCTACTGAAGACACCAGGAGCGGGTCTTCACACTGAGGGAGAGTCACACTGGGACTGGTCCTCAGGTCTAGAGTCAGACTGGGACTGGTCCTCAGGTCTAGAGTCAGACTGGGACTGGTCCTCAGGTCTAGAGTCAGACTGGGACTGGTCCTCAGGTCTAGAGTCAGACTGGGACTGGTCCTAAGGTCTAGACTCAGACTGGGACTGGTCCTCAGGTCTAGAGTCAGACTGGGACTGGTCCTCAGGTCTAGAGTCAGACTGGGACTGGTCCTCAGGTCTAGAGTCAGACTGGGACAGGTCCTCAGGTCTAGAGTCAGACTGGGACTGGTCCTCAGGTCTAGAGTCAGACTGGGACAGGTCCTCAGGTCTAGAGTCAGACTGGGACAGGTCCTCAGGTCTAGAGTCAGACTGGGACTGGTCCTCAGGTCTAGAGTCAGACTGGGACTGGTCCTCAGGTCTAGAGTCAGACTGGGGCTGGTCCTCAGGTCTAGAGTCAGACTGGGGCTGGTCCTCAGGTCTAGAGTCAGACTGGGACTGGTCCTCAGGTCTAGAGTCAGACTGGGACTGGTCCTCAGGTCTAGAGTCAGACTGGGACAGGTCCTCAGGTCTAGAGTCAGACTGGGACTGGTCCTCAGGTCTAGAGTCAGACTGGGACTGGTCCTCAGGTCTAGAGTCAGACTGGGACTGGTCCTCAGGTCTAGAGTCAGACTGGGACTTGTCCTCAGGTCTAGAGTCAGAATGGGACTAGTCCTCAAGTCCAGGGTCCAGGTCAGACCTGGAACATGATTACCTCTGTGAATGGAGGTGAGCAGCGCCGGTGATGCTAGTTTAGCATAAGTTCAAGATTTTTGATCTTAACTTCCAGTTGCTTCCTTCTCCTTCGAAGAACTGCATCTGCTCTTCCAGTTCATACTTTTGATCCAGTGCAGCTATATTTGCTTTAATCTCTAAACGAGCTGCAGCCAAAGATTTATTTTTGCAGTAAAACATTGTTTAATGGAACTATATTCAAAAGTCTCTCCTCTTAATCCCAACAACAGCATCTGCATGGTCAATCCACTGAAACATTTAGGTAGTCTTTGACCTGTAGAGGCCTAGGGCCCTATGTCACTGGAACACTAAGTTACATGTTCACTGGGAGTTCAGACGCCTGTTTCCTTGTCCAAAAATGAGTCCAATACTAAAATATGCAGAAAATACACTTTTTATTTCCATGTGCTCGGTCAAAAGACTGTTCCTCCTCACACATGCAACACCTGCTGCACTAATTGCAGGAGAACATGGACCAGTGGACTCACTCCTTCACGGTTTACAATTGTTAATTTTGGGCATTTGTCTCTCACTCCACACAGAGATGGTCGCCAGTACAGGAGGCGCATGCCTGAACTATTGGACATATTTTTAGTGGTCGGGGAAACCGGAGTACCCGGAGGAAACCTACGCAGACACAGGGAGAACATGCAAACTCCACTCAGAAAGGCCCTGGTCCGACCGGGATTTGAACCCAGGACCTTCTTGCTGAGAGGCGAGAGTGCTATCCACTCAGCCACCGTGCCGCAGTTCATCCAGAGTGATCATGGGCCTCTTGGCTGCATCTCTGATCAGTCTTCTCCTTGTTTGAGATGAAAGTTTGGAGGGACGGCCGGGTCTTGGTAGATTTGCAGTGGTCTGATACTCCTTCCATTTCAATATAATTGCTTGCACAGTGCTCCTTGAGATGTTTAAAGCTCGGGAAATCTTTTTGTATCCAAATCCGGCTTTAATCTTCTCACAACAGTATCTCGGACCTGCCTGGTGTGTTCCTTTGTCTTCATGGTTCTCTCTGCGCTTTAAACAGAACCCTGAGACTATCAAAGAGCAGGTGCATTTATACGGAGACTTGATTACACACAGGAGCATTCTATTTATCATCATCAGTCATTTAGGACAACATTGGATCATTCAAAGATCCTCACTGAACTTCTGGACTGAGTTTGCTGCACTGAAAGTAAAGGGGCCGAATAATATTGCACGCCCCACTTTTCAGTTTTTTATTTGTTAAAAAAGTTAAAATTATCCAATACATTTCGTTCCACTTCACGATTGTGTCCCACTTGTTGTTGATTCATGACAACATTTTTAAATTTTATATCTTTATGTTTGAAGCCTGAATTGTGGTGAAATGTTGAAAGGTTCAAGGGGGCCGAATACTTTCGCAAGGCACTGTACATTTTGGACACTACACTGCACTCTGCTCCGCCCTCAAAATAAGATCCTGAAAGGCAGCTAATCCTCACTCCCAAAAACCATCCCGCACTCTGGTCGGAGCCAAGTCCAAATCTGCCACCAGGAGATGTATGCACACATCGGTCTGAGGTTGGGGTCGGAGGTCGGGGTCTGAGGTCGCGGTCTGAGGTCTCTGAGGTCGCGGTCTGAGGTCGCGGTCTGAGGTCGCGGTCTGAGGTCGCGGACTGAGGTCGCGGTCTCAGGTCGGGGTCTGAGGTCGCGGTCTGAGGTCGCGGTCTGAGGTTGCGGTCTGAGGTCGGGGTCTGAGGTCGCGGTCTGAGGTTGCGGTCTGAGGTCGGGGTCTGAGGTCGCGGTCTGAGGTCGGGGTCGGAGGTCGCGGTCTGAGGTTGCGGTCTGAGGTCGCGGTCTGAGGTCGGGGTCTGAGGTCGGGGTCTGAGGTCGCGGTCTGAGGTCGGGGTCTGAGGTCGGGGTCTGAGGTCGCGGTCTGAGGTCGCGGTCTGAGGTCGGGGTCTGAGGTTGCGGTCTGAGGTCGTGGTCTGAGGTCGCGGTCTGAGGTCGCGGTCTGAGGTTGCGGTCTGAGGTCGCGGTCTGAGGTTGCGGTCTGAGGTCGCGGTCTGAGGTCGCGGTCTGAGGTCGCGGTCTGAGGTCGGGGTCTGAGGTCGGGGTCTGAGGTCGGGGTCTGAGGTCGCGGTCTGAGGTCGGGGTCTGAGGTCGGGGTCTGAGGTCGCGGTCTGAGGTCGGGGTCTGAGGTTGCGGTCTGAGGTCGCGGTCTGAGGTCGGGGTCTGAGGTCGCGGTCTGAGGTTGCGGTCTGAGGTCGCGGTCTGAGGTCGCGGTCTGAGGTCGCGGTCTGAGGTCGCGGTCTGAGGTTGCGGTCTGAGGTCGCGGTCTGAGGTTGCGGTCTGAGGTCGCGGTCTGAGGTCACGGTCTGAGGTCGCGGTCTGAGGTTGGGGTCTGAGGTCGGGGTCTGAGGTTGGGGTCTGAGGTCGCGGTCTGAGGTCGCGGTCTGAGGTCGCGGTCTGAGGTCGCGGTCTGAGGTCGCGGTCTGAGGTCGCGGTCTGAGGTCGCGGTCTGAGGTCGCGGTCTGAGGTTGGGGTCTGAGGTCGCGGTCTGAGGTTGGGGTCGGAGGTCGGGGTCTGAGGTTGCGGTCTGAGGTTGCGGTCTGAGGTTGCGGTCTGAGGTCGCGGTCTGAGGTCGCGGTCTGAGGTCGCGGTCTGAGGTCGCGGTCTGAGGTTGCGGTCTGAGGTCGGGGTCTGAGGTCGCGGTCTGAGGTCGCGGTCTGAGGTCGGGGTCTGAGGTCGGGGTCTGAGGTCGGGGTCTGAGGTCACGGTCTGAGGTCGGGGTCGGAGGTTGCGGTCTGAGGTTGCGGTCTGAGGTCGGGGTCTGAGGTTGCGGTCTGAGGTTGGGGTCTGAGGTTGCGGTCTGAGGTCGCGGTCTGAGGTCGCGGCCTGAGGTCGCGGCCTGAGGTAGCGGTCTGAGGTCACGGTCTGAGGTCGCGGTCTGAGGTCGCGGTCTGAGGTCGGGGTCGGAGGTCGCGGTCTGAGGTTGCGGTCTGAGGTCGCGGCCTGAGGTTGTGGTCTGAGGTTGCGGTCTGAGGTCGAGGTTTGAGGTCGCTCGGTCTGAGGTTGCTGTCTGAGGTCGCGGTCTGAGGTCGCGGTCTGAGGTCGCGGTCTGAGGTCGCGGTCTGAGGTCGCGGTCTGAGGTCGCGGTCTGAGGTTGCGGTCTGAGGTCGGGGTCTGAGGTCGGGGTCTGAGGTCGGGGTCTGAGGTCGGGGTCTGAGGTCGGGGTCTGAGGTCGCGGTCTGAGGTCGCGGTCTGAGGTCGCGGTCTGAGGTCGCGGTCTGAGGTCGCGGTCTGAGGTCGGGGTCTGAGGTCGCGGTCTGAGGTTGGGGTCTGAGGTCGCGGTCTGAGGTCGCGGTCTGAGGTCGCGGTCTGAGGTTGCGGTCTGAGGTCGCGGTCTGAGGTCGCGGTCTGAGGTCGCGGTCTGAGGTCGCGGTCTGAGGTCGCGGTCTGAGGTCGGGGTCTGAGGTCGCGGTCTGAGGTCGCGGTCTGAGGTCGGGGTCTGAGGTCGGGGTCTGAGGTCACGGTCTGAGGTCGGGGTCGGAGGTCGCGGTCTGAGGTTGCGGTCTGAGGTCGGGGTCTGAGGTTGCGGTCTGAGGTTGGGGTCTGAGGTTGCGGTTTGAGGTCGCGGTCTGAGGTCGCGGCCTGAGGTCGCGGCCTGAGGTCGCGGTCTGAGGTCACGGTCTGAGGTCGCGGTCTGAGGTTGCGGTCTGAGGTCGGGGTTGGAGGTCGCGGTCTGAGGTCGCGGCCTGAGGTCACGGTCTGAGGTCGCGGTCTGAGGTCGCGGTTTGAGGTCGCGGTCTGAGGTCGCGGTCTGAGGTCACGGTCTGAGGTCGCGGTCTGAGGTCGCGGTCTGAGGTCGGGGTCGGAGGTCGTGGTCTGAGGTCGCGGTCTGAGGTCGCGGTCTGAGGTCGCGGTCTGAGGTTGGGGTCTGAGGTCGCGGTCTGAGGTTGGGGTCTGAGGTAGCGGTCTGAGGTTGCGGTCTGAGGTCGCGGTCTGAGGTTGCGGTCTGAGGTCGCGGTCTGAGGTCGCGGTCTGAGGTCGCGGTCTGAGGTCGCGGTCTGAGGTCGCGGTCTGAGGTCGGGGTCTGAGGTCGCGGTCTGAGGTCGCGGTCTGAGGTCGGGGTCTGAGGTCGGGGTCTGAGGTCGGGGTCTGAGGTCACGGTCTGAGGTCGGGGTCGGAGGTCGCGGTCTGAGGTTGCGGTCTGAGGTCGGGGTCTGAGGTTGCGGTCTGAGGTTGGGGTCTGAAGTTGCGGTTTGAGGTCGCGGTCTGAGGTCGCGGCCTGAGGTCGCGGCCTGAGGTCGCGGTCTGAGGTCACGGTCTGAGGTCGCGGTCTGAGGTCGCGGTCTGAGGTCGGGGTCGGAGGTCGCGGTCTGAGGTCGCGGCCTGAGGTCACGGTCTGAGGTCGCGGTCTGAGGTCGCGGTTTGAGGTCGCGGCCTGAGGTCGCGGCCTGAGGTCGCGGTCTGAGGTCACGGTCTGAGGTCGCGGTCTGAGGTCGCGGTCTGAGGTCGGGGTCGGAGGTCGTGGTCTGAGGTCGCGGTCTGAGGTTGCGGCCTGAGGTTGTGGTCTGAGGTCGCGGTCTGAGGTCGCGGTCTGAGGTCGCTGTCTGAGGTCGCGGTCTGAGGTCGCTGTCTGAGGTCGCGGTCTGAGGTCGCGGTCTGAGGTCGCGGTCTGAGGTCGCGGTCTGAGGTCGGGGTCTGAGGTCTGGGTCTGAGGTCGCGGTCTGAGGTCGCGGTCTGAGGTCGGGGTCTGAGGTCGGGGTCTGAGGTTGCGGTCTGAGGTCGCGGTCTGAGGTCGCGGTCTGAGGTCGGGGTCTGAGGTCGGGGTCTGAGGTCGGGGTCTGAGGTCGGGGTCTGAGGTCGCGGTCTGAGGTTGCGGTCTGAGGTCGGGGTCTGAGGTCGGGGTCTGAGGTCGCGGTCTGAGGTCGGGGTCTGAGGTCGGGGTCTGAGGTCGCGGTCTGAGGTCGGGGTCTGAGGTCGCGGCCTGAGGTCGGGGTCTGAGGTCGCGGTCTGAGGTCGGGGTCTGAGGTTGCGGTCTGAGGTCGCGGTCTGAGGTCGCGGTCTGAGGTCGCGGTCTGAGGTCGCGGTCTGAGGTCGCGGTCTGAGGTCGCGGTCTGAGGTCGGGGTCTGAGGTCGCGGTCTGAGGTCGCGGTCTGAGGTCGGGGTCTGAGGTCGGGGTCTGAGGTCACGGTCTGAGGTCGGGGTCGGAGGTCGCGGTCTGAGGTTGCGGTCTGAGGTCGGGGTCTGAGGTTGCGGTCTGAGGTTGGGGTCTGAGGTTGCGGTTTGAGTCGCGGTCTGAGGTCGCGGCTGAGGTCGCGGTGAGGTCGCGGTCTGAGGTCACGGTCTGAGGTCGCGGTCTGAGGTCGCGGTCTGAGGTCGGGGTCGGAGGTCGCGGTCTGAGGTCGCGGCTGAGGTCACGGTCTGAGGTCGCGGTCTGAGGTCGCGGTTTGAGGTCGCGGCTGAGGTCGCGGTCTGAGGTCGCGGTCTGAGGTCACGGTCTGAGGTCGCGGTCTGAGGTCGCGGTCTGAGGTCGGGGTCGGAGGTCGTGGTCTGAGGTCGCGGTCTGAGGTTGCGGCCTGAGGTTGTGGTCTGAGGTCGCGGTCTGAGGTCGCGGTCTGAGGTCGCTGTCTGAGGTCGCGGTCTGAGGTCGCGGTCTGAGGTCGCGGTCTGAGGTCGCGGTCTGAGGTCGCGGTCTGAGGTCGCGGTCTGAGGTCGCGGTCTGAGGTCGCGGTCTGAGGTCGCGGTCTGAGGTCGCGGTCTGAGGTCGCGGTCTGAGGTCGCGGTCTGAGGTCGCGGTCTGAGGTCGCGGTCTGAGGTCGGGGTCTGAGGTCGGGGTCTGAGGTCGGGGTCTGAGGTCGGGGTCTGAGGTCGGGGTCTGAGGTCGCGGTCTGAGGTCGCGGTCTGAGGTCGGGGTCTGAGGTCGGGGTCTGAGGTCGCGGTCTGAGGTCGGGGTCTGAGGTCGCGGTCTGAGGTCGCGGTCTGAGGTCGCGGTCTGAGGTCGCGGTCTGAGGTCGCGGTCTGAGGTCGCGGTCTGAGGTCGCGGTCTGAGGTCGATCCTCACAGAGCCAGGCCTGTGCGCCAAACCAATAAACTACAAACAATACTTACAATCAATAAATCTATAAAACGCATTTTCTCTCTTGTAGTCTCTCCAGATTGAAATGAAGCTTAAGCGGTAGTTCAGATTGGTAGACTCTGTCATCGCAGCGGGCCCAGGCCTTTCTCAGCCTCACATCAGCTTCATCAACTCCTGCAGCCGCTAATCAACACTTACTACTGTTTGTGCAGGAAACCTGGTCTTCTGAAGATCCAACACACAACACTGTTAGAACAGACGCAAATATCATGAAACAAAGTGACTCTGGTTCTGATTCCAGCCTCTACAACATGGACCCACGAGGACCTGGCCCCGGGTCTAAACCCAGACCAGGACCCAGACCTGGACCTGCTCCCAGCTCTCAGTCTCTGAAAAGTGACCGGTCCAAAACCCCTCCTCCTGAGTTCAGAGAAGATGGTCCTGAAGATCAGAGGTGAGACTTGAACCCATGTTGTTAAGACAGTGCTGTGTCTCGTCCTTCATCAAAGACTGTGGTTCTGTGGCACTTTGTAAATAAACAGCATGAATGTAGAATCTACTGAAGACACCAGGAGCGGGTCTTCACACTGAGGGAGAGTCAGACTGGGACTGGTCCTCAGGTCAGAGTCTGGGACTGGTCCTCAGGTCTAGAGTCAGACTGGGACTGGTCCTCAGGTCTAGAGTCAGACTGGGACTGGTCCTCAGGTCTAGAGTCAGACTGGGACTGGTCCTCAGGTCTAGAGTCAGACTGGGACTGGTCCTCAGGTCTAGAGTCAGACTGGGACTGGTACTCAGGTCTAGAGTCAGACTGGGACTGGTCCTCATGTCTAGAGTCAGACTGGGACTGGTCCTCAGGTCTAGCGTCGGACTGGGACTGGTCCTCAGGTCTAGAGTCAGATCGGGACTGGTCCTAAGGTCTAGAGTCAGACTGGGACAGGTCCTCAGGTCTAGAGTCAGAGTGGGACTGGTCCTCAGGTCTAGAGTCAGACTGGGACAGGTCCTCAGGTCTAGAGTCAGAGTGGGACTGGTCCTCAGGTCCAGGGTCCAGGTCAGACTGGGACTGGTCCTCAGGTCCAGGGTCCAGAGTCAGAGTGGGACTGGTCCTCAGGTCTAGAGTCAGACTGGGACTGGTCCTCAGGTCTAGAGTTAGACTGGGACTGGTCCTCAGGTCTAGAGTCAGACTGGGACAGGTCCTCAGGTCTAGAGTCAGACTGGGACTGGTCCTCATGTCTAGAGTCAGACTGGGACTGGTCCTCAGGTCTAGCGTCGGACTGGGACTGGTCCTCAGGTCTAGAGTCAGATCGGGACTGGTCCTCAGGTCTAGAGTCAGACTGGGACAGGTCCTCAGGTCTAGAGTCAGAGTGGGACTGGTCCTCAGGTCTAGAGTCAGACTGGGACAGGTCCTCAGGTCTAGAGTCAGAGTGGGACTGGTCCTCAGGTCCAGGGTCCAGGTCAGACTGGGACTGGTCCTCAGGTCCAGGGTCCAGAGTCAGACTGGGACTGGTCCTCAGGTGTAGAGTCAGACTGGGACTGGTCCTCAGGTCTAGAGTCAGACTGGGACTGGTCCTCAGGTCTAGAGTCAGACTGGGACTGGTCCTCAGGTCTAGAGTTAGACTGGGACTGGTCCTCAGGTCTAGAGTCAGACTGGGACAGGTCCTCAGGTCTAGAGTCAGACTGGGACTGGTCCTCAGGTCTAGAGTCAGACTGGGACAGGTCCTCAGGTCCAGGGTCCAGGTCAGACCTGGAACATGATTACCTCTGTGAATGGAGGTGAGCAGCGCCGGTGATGCTAGTTTAGCATAAGTTCAAGATTTTTGATCTTAACTTCCAGTTGCTTCCTTCTCCTTCGAAGAACTGCATCTGCTCTTCCAGTTCATACTTTTGATCCAGTGCAGCTATATTTGCTTTAATCTCTAAACGAGCTGCAGCCAAAGATTTATTTTTGCAGTAAAACATTGTTTAATGGAACTATATTCAAAAGTCTCTCCTCTTGATCCCAACAACAGCATCTGCATGGTCAATCCACTGAAACATTTAGGTAGTCTTTGACCTGTAGAGGCCTAGGGCCCTATGTCACTGGAACACTAAGTTACATGTTCACTGGGAGTTCAGACGCCTGTTTCCTTGTCCAAAAATGAGTCCAATACTAAAATATGCAGAAAATACACTTTTTATTTCCATGTGCTCGGTCAAAAGACTGTTCCTCCTCACACATGCAACACCTGCTGCACTAATTGCAGGAGAACATGGACCAGTGGACTCACTCCTTCACTGTATCCAACAGATCAGTGAGTGGATGCAAAACAACTTCCTTCAGCTAAACGCAGACAAAACTGAAATGATTGTCTTTGGTCCCCAGAAACAAAGAGAGAGCGTCATCTGTCACCTACAGTCTCTCTCCCTAAAACCTTCAAACAAGGTCAGAAATCTAGGGGTAATACTGGACTCAGACTTAAATTTTAATAGCCACATCAAATCAGTAACATCAGCAGCTTTTTACCATCTAAAAAACATTGCCAGGATCAAAAACATAGTGTCTAAAGCAGACCTGGAGATTCTTATCCATGCATTTGTCTCCAGTAGGTTAGACTACTGCAATGGCCTGCTCACAGGTCTGTCCAAACAGGCTGTAAAACAGCTGCAGTACATTCAAAATGCAGCAGCTCGAGTCCTGACTAGAACCAGGAAGTACGACCACATTAGTCCTGACTAGAACCAGGAAGTACGACCACATTAGTCCTGACTAGAACCAGGAAGTACGACCACATTAGTCCTGACTAGAACCAGGAAGTACGACCACATTAGTCCGGTCCTCAGGTCTCTGCACTGGCTTCCTGTGGCTCAGAGAATAGACTTTAAAACAGCTCTGCTTGTTACAAGTCTCTCCATGGCCTCGCACCAAAATATATTAGTGACATGTTAGTCCCATATGAACCAGCCCGGACTCTGAGGAGCACAGGGACTGGACTCCTGCTGGGACTCTGAGGAGCACAGGGACTGGACTCCTGCTGGGACTCTGAGGAGCACAGGGACTGGACTCCTGCTGGGACTCTGAGGAGCACAGGGACTGGACTCCTGCTGGGACTCTGAGGAGCACAGGGACTGGACTCCTGCTGGGACTCTGAGGAGCACAGGGACTGGACTCCTGCTGGGACTCTGAGGAGCACAGGGACTGGACTCCTGCTGGGACTCTGAGGAGCACAGGGACTGGACTCCTGTTAGTGCCCAGAGTCAGAACTAAACATGGGGAGGCTGCTTTTCAGATTCATGCTGCTAAAATCTGGAACAGTCTTCCTGAAGATGTGAGACAGGCCTCCTCTCTGACAATGTTTAAAACCAGGTTAAAGACAGTTCTGTTTAGCTGTGCTACAACTGAGGGATTTTATATTTTTATCTTTCTTTTTAATGTTCTGTGATTATTTATGATTTTAATGCTTTCTTGTTTTGTTCAGCACTTTGAGTTGCCTTGTGTATGAATTGTGCTATATAAATAAACTTGCCTTGCCTTGCCTAATTACCTGCCTTAAATAATAGATCCAGTTATTATAATAGATCCAGTTATTATAATAGATCCAGTTATTATAATAGATCCAGTTATTATAATAGATCCAGTCATTATAATAGATCCAGTTATTATAATAGATCCAGTTATTATAATAGATCCAGTTATTATAATAGATCCAGTTATTATAATAGATCCATGGCGTCAGCACGAACCAAAGAAAGCATATCTGCTTCACACATACAGCGCTCCACACATATCTCCACTGCCTCCTGTGATTATCAAATTCAACATTGAAGACAACAGTCAACCTGAAAATCTTGTACACATTGTAGGTTACAGCAGTGCTCTGTCTGCTGTGCTCTAACCTCACTAACTCTAACTAGCTCCACTACACCGCAACAAACAAAGTGTAGTGTTGATTTGTCCATAACTTAAACCATGTCCAAACTTGAACCAAAACAAATGAAAAGGCCACTCAGGCGTTTTCAGGTTGACTTTACGCAGGGTAGAGAAAACATAATGTCCAAACTAAATTGCATTTTTGGTGGGTTTATTCTCCAAGCAAATGGCAAACATGCAGAACTGCAGCCTCTCTCTCGCTGGTAAAAAACCATATGCCCAAAACGCCTCTATGCTGCGCCCTCCCCCCATAGCCCTATTTATCCTCGTGACCTAAAATAAAATAAATAAGCAATAATTAACCCAAAATTATCTTTGCAAACTTAGAAAAATAACTAACTAAAGTAGATCATAATTAGAATAAAAAAATAGACAAATAGCTCTAACACAAAGTGACGCTTTATTTTACAAGCTCTGCACAAACCAACGGGCTGTGTGCTCCTGACGGAGGCTTGGTTTGTTTGTTAAATGCATGTGAGAGTTAGAGGTGTGTGTTATGAAGAACTCAAAGAGGCCATGAACAATAATCCACATGAAATCTATAATAATCTATTCAATAAATACCACTTTCCCCCATATTTGTGACTATCCGAACCAAACAATGATGAGGTGAAGAAGCCCAGGGCCTGTAGAGCCAGAAGGCAACACTTCAGAGTCACCACAAACGTACAACTTCATCTGTGGCAAAATGTCTGGTGTCTCTGGTGCTGAAGCTGGGAGTCCCAGGTTTAGTGCTGTGTAGAAGCTCTTTATAGAAACAGTCCTTTTCTCTCCTGTTTGAGTCTGTGTTCTTCTATTGTGCACACTAAATAAATGCTGAGTGTGTTTCACAGGGATCCAGGTCCAAAGGAGCCGCTGGACGCCATCTTGAGGGTGAGTGTCCACCACCGCAGCTTGTGTGGCCTTCTCTGGCTGCTCCTCAGCGTCTCTCTGTGAACTCTTATTGTTCTGTTCCAGCGTCTGCAGGAGGACGTGGTGACTTTTGTCAAAGAGCAGCTGCAGAGGATCCAAAGGCTCCTGGCCTCAGATTACCCAGAATGCTCTGAGAGTGAGGAGGAGAGCAGAGAGGTTCTGAAGATCGCCCTGGACTTCCTGAAGAGGATGAAGCAGGATGAGCTGGTCCAGCGCCTGCAGAGCAGTAAGAACTCTCTGTGTCTGTAGCAACACAACATGTGTTTACTAGAGACACACACATTTCTGGCTCTCAGGCTCTGAACACTCACCACACATCAGTAATGGGCCCAGATTTCACCCAAATCAGAACATTCTTTTGGATCATGGAAGTTACCGACTCAGCCACAAACACAAGGTGTTAACTTAAGCTCCGCCCACATGTTCTCCCTCATTTTAAAGATCAGAATCGACAGAATTCACTTGTTATGTTATAATCAAAGTATCTATATTTGACAAGTATAATTCACTTGGTGAAATGTTAGCTGTTAGCCTTGTTTGTTAGCATCTTTGGCTAATGCTAATGGAGGCGGGGTCAGTTCAGTGGTCACATGTTCACAGCTGTTTGTCTTTATTCAGGAAGCACAGTTGGAGTTTGTAGAGATGAACTGAAGAAGCAGCTGCAGCAGAAGTTAAGCCGTGTGTTTGAGGGCGTGGCTAAAGCAGGAGACTCCGCCCCCCTGACCCAGATCTACACAGAGCTCTACATCACAGAGGGCGGGGCCTCAGAGGTCAACCAGGAACATGAGGTCAGACTGATGGAGAGCGCGTCCAGGAGACCAGCCGCTCCAGAGACCCCCATCACCTGTGAAGACATGTTTAAGCCCCGCCCACACTCACCACAGCCAATCAGAGCGCTGCTGACGAAGGGCGTGGCCGGCGTGGGGAAGACTGTGCTGACTCAGAAGTTTAGTCTGGACTGGGCTGAAGGCAGAGCTCATCAGGACCTCCAGCTGCTGTTCCCCTTCTCCTTCAGAGAGCTCAATGTTGTGAAGGACAGAAGCTTCAGCCTGGTGGGACTCATACAGCACTTCTTCAGTCCATCCAAAGGTCTCTGCAGCTTTGAAGACCTCCAGGTGCTCCTCATCTTTGACGGTCTGGACGAGTGCAGACTTCCTCTGGACTTCAGCAGCTCTCGTGTCCTCTCAGACCCCACAGAGTCCGTCTCTCTGGACCTGCTGCTGGTGAACCTCATCAGAGGAAGCCTGCTTCCCTCCGCTCGCCTCTGGATCACCACACGCCCAGCGGCGGCCAATCAGATCCCTGCTGAGTGCGTCTCCATGGTGACAGAGGTCCGAGGCTTCACCGACCCGCAGAAGGAGCAGTACTTCAGGAAGAGGTTCAGAGACGAGCGACAGGCCACAGCGATCATCTCCCACATCAAGAGCGTCCGCAGCCTCCACATCATGTGCCACATCCCAGTCTTCTGCTGGATCCTCTCCACAGTTCTACAGAAGCTTCTGGAACAAACAGAGGAACCAGAGCTGCCCCGGACCCTCACACAGATGTACACACACTTCCTGGTGGTGCAGGCCAAAGTCCACAACATCAAGTATCAGCAGGGATCAGGGGCGGAGCTTCACTGGACTCCACAGACCAGGGAGATGGTGACGTCTCTGGGAAAACTGGCCTTTGAGCAGCTGCAGAGAGGAAACCTGATCTTCTACGACCGTGACCTGAGCGAGTGTGGGCTGGACGCTGCAGCCGCCTCAGTGTACTCCGGAGTCTTCACACAGGTCTTTAGAGAGGAGCCAGGCCTGTACCAGGACAAGGTCTACTGCTTCATCCATCTGAGTGTGCAGGAGTTTCTGGCTGCTCTTCACGTCCATCAGACCTTCTACAGCTCTGGACAGAACCTGCTGAAGGTCAAACTAACCGATTTCTTCAAACAGCTGTTTAAAAAGAATAACTTAGGTGTTCTACACCGCTGTGCTGTGGACCAGGCCTTACAGAGTCCAAACGGACACCTGGACCTGTTCCTGCGCTTCCTCCTGGGGCTGTCTCTGCCGACCAATCAGAGGCTGCTGTCAGGTCTGACTCAGACAGGAAGTGGCTCAGGGACAAATCAGGAGACAGTAAAGTACATCAAAGAGAAGCTGAATGAAAAGGGTCTGTCTGCAGAGAGAAGCATGAACCTGCTGCACTGTCTGATGGAGCTGAACGACCTCAGTCTGGTGCAGCAGATACAGAGGAACATGAGAGAAGGAGCACTCTCCAGGTTAAGTTCTCCTGCCCATTGGTCGACTGTGTCCTTCGTCTTACTGTCCTCAGACTCAGACCTGCAGGACTTTGACCTGAGGAAATACCGGGCCTCAGAGACAGCTCTCCTGTGTCTGCTGCCGGTGGTCAGAGCCTCCACCAAAGCCCTGTGAGTCCAGACTGTGTTGAAGGTCTTCTGTGGAGGGTCTAGTCTCTAATGTGTCTCTGTCCTCAGGTTGAGTTACAGTGGACTGTCCCCTCACAGCTGTGGTCCTCTGGCCTCAGTCCTCAGCTCCTCCAGTCTCACACACCTGGATCTGAGTAACAACGACCTCCAGGACTCAGGAGTGGAGCTGCTGTGTTCTGGACTGAAGAGCGCCCCCTGTGGACTGCACACTCTCAGGTGAGACTCCCATGATGCATCTGTGTCCTCTGTGTCCACATGAGTGTAACGCTGTGTGTCTTTAGGCTGTCTGGATGTCTGATCTCAGAGAGGGGCGGGGCTGCTCTGGCCTCAGCTCTAAGCCCCGCCCCCTCCCATCTGAGAGAGTTGGACCTGAGCTGCAACCATCCAGGAGGTTCATCAGAGCTGCTGAAGGCTCTACAGGACGACCCACACTGCCCCCTGCAGGAACTCAGGTCTGACTCTGAACTGACCTGGTCTAGGTCTTGGTCTCTGGTCCTAGTCCAGGTCTTGGTCTTTGGTCCTGGTCCAGGTCCTGGTCTCTGGTCTCTAGTCTTGGTCTCTGGTCCAGGTCCAGGTCCTGGTCTCTGGTCTCTGGTCTCTGGTCTGGTCTCTGGTCCTGGTCTCTGGTCTCTGGTCTTGATCTCTGGTCCTGGTCTCTGGTCCTGTTCCAGGTCTTGGTCTTGGTCTTTGGTCCTGGTCCAGGTCCTGGTCTCTGGTCTCTAGTCTTGGTCTCTGGTCTCTGGTCTCTGGTCCTGGTCTCTGGTCTCTGGTCCTCTCTCTGGTCTTGATCTCTGGTCCTGGTCTCTGGTCCCGGCCCCGGTCTTGGTCTCTGGTCCTGGTCCTGGTCTCTGGTCCTGGTCTGGTCTCTGGTCCTGGTCTTGATCTCTGGTCCTGGTCCTGGTCCTGGTCCAGGTCTTGGTCTCTGGTCCTGGTCTCTGGTCCTGGGTCTTGGTCTGGTCTCTGGTCCTGGTCTTGGTCTCTGGTCCTGGTCTTGATCTCTGGTCCTGGTCCTGGTCCTGGTCCAGGTCTTGATCTCTGGTCCTGGTCTCTTGTCTCTGGTCCTGTTCCAGGTCCAGGAGGTCCAGGTCCAGGTCCAGGTCTCTAGGTCTCTGGTCCTGGTCCTGGTCTCTGGTCTTGATCTCTGGTCCTGGTCTCTTGTCTCTGGTCCTGGTCCTGTTCCAGGTCCAGGAGGTCCAGGTTCAGGTCCAGGTCTCTGGTCTCTGGTCCTAGTCCAGGTCTTGGTCTCTGGTCCTGGTCCTGGTCCTGGTCTTGGCCTCTGGTCCTGGTCCAGGTCTTGGTCTCTGGTCTCTGGTTGCTGGTCCTAGTCCAGGTCTTGGTCTCTGGTCCTGGTCCTGGTCTTGGCCTCTGGTCCTGGTCCAGGTCTTGGTCTCTGGTCTTGGTCCTTGTCCTGGTCCTGGTCTAGATCTTGGTCTATGGTCTTGGTCCTAGTCCTTGTCTAGATCTTGGTCTCTGGTCTTGGTCCTGGTTCTGGTCCTGGTCCAGGTCTTGGTCTCTGGTCGTGGTCGTGGTCCTGGTCTAGATCTTGGTCTCTGGTCTTGGTCCTGGTCCTGGTCTAGATCTTGGTCTCTGGTCTTGGTCGAGGTCCTGGTCCTGCTCCTGGTCCTGGTCCTGGTCCTGGTCCTGGTCCAGGTCTTGGTCTCTGGTCCAGGTCCTGGTTTCTGGTCCTGCTCTTGGCCTCTTGTCTTGGTCTTGGTCCAGCTCCTGGTCCTGGTCTAGATCTTGGTCTCTGGTCCTGGTCCTGGTCCTGGTCCAGGTCTAGATCTTGGTCTCTGGTCTTGGTCCTGCTCCTGGTCCTGGTCCTCCTGGTCCTGGTCCTGGTTTCTGGTCCTGCTCTTGGCCTCTTGTCTTGGTCTTGGTCCAGCTCCTGGTCCTGGTCTAGATCTTGGTCTCTGGTCCTGGTCCTGGTCCAGGTCTAGATCTTGGTCTCTGGTCTTGGTCCTGCCCCGGGTCCTGCTCCTGGTCCTTCGCCTGGTTCTGGTCCAGGTCCTGGTCCGGGTCTTGGTCTCTGGTCCTTGTCCAGGTCCAGGTCTTGGTCTCTGGTCCTGGTCCAGGTCTCTGGTCCTGGTCCTGGTCCTGGTCCAGGTCCTGCTCCTGGTCCTGGTCCAGGTCTTGGTCTCTGGTCCTGGTCCTGGTCCTGGTCCTGGTCCAGGTCTTGGTCTCTGGTCCTGGTCCAGGTCTTGGTCTCTGGTCCTGCTCCTGGTCCTGGTCCAGGTCCTGCTCCTGGTCTTGGTCTTGGTCTCTGGTCCTGGTCCTGGTCCTGGTTCTGATCCTGCTCCTGGTCCTGGTCCAGGTCCTGCTCCTGGTCTTAGTGTTGGTCTCTCGTCCTGGTCCTGGTCCAGGTCTTGGTCTCTGGTCCTGGTCCTGGTCGTGGTCCTGGTCTCTGGTCCTGGTCTCTGGTCCTGGTCCTGGTCCTGATCCTGGTCTCTGGTCTCTGGTCCTGGTCTCTGGTCCTGGTCCTGGTCCTGGTCCTGGTCCTGGTCCTGGTCCCTGGTCCTGGTCCTGGTCCCTGGTCCCTGGTCCTGGTCCTGGTCCTGGTCCTGGTCCTGGTCCTGGTCCTGGTCCTGGTCCCTGGTCTCTGGTCCTGGTCCTGGTCCTGGTCCTGGTCCTGGTCCTGGTCCTGGTCCTGGTCCTGGTCCTGGTCCTGGTCCTGGTCCTGGTCCTGGTCCTGGTCCTGGTCCTGGTCCTGGTCCTGGTCCTGGTCCTGGTCCTGGCCCTGGTCCTGGTCCTGGTCCTGGTCCTGGTCCTGGTCCTGGTCTAAAGTGCCTTGTGTGTTGCAGGTTGGATCCTGCTGGAGAACAGTGGATGGTTCCAGGTCTGAGGAAGTGTGAGTTTCTCATTCACTTTATATAAAGTTATTTATATAAAGTTATTTATATAAAGTTATTTATATAAAGTTATTTATATAAAGTTATTTATATAAAGTTATTTATATAAAGTCATTTATATAAAGTCATTTATATAAAGTTATTTATATAAAGTTATTTATATAAAAGTTATTTATATAAAGTTATTTATATAAAGTTATTTATATAAAGTTATTTATATAAAGTTATGTATATAAAGTTATGTATATAAAGTTATTTATATAAAGTTATTTATATAAAGTTATTTATATAAAGTTATTTATATAAAGTTATCTTTACTCTGTGGTTAAAGCGTCTGGAGCTGATGTTTCTTCTTGTTTTGTGTTTTTCCTCAGATTCCTGTGAGTTTTCTCTGGATCCAAACTCGGCTCACAGAATCCTCAAACTGTCTGAGGACAAACGGACAGTGACCAGAGGGACAGAGGTGCAGCAGTGTCCAGGGCATCAGGACAGATTTACAGACCAGCCACAGGTCCTGAGCAGCACTGGCCTGAGGGGGCGCTGTTACTGGGAGGTGGACTGGACCACGAGGAGGTGGGAGGAGGTCATTGAGATCGCAGTGAGTCACAGAGGAATCAGACGCAGAGGGACGAGAGAAGAGAGTGGGTTTGGAACCAATGATCAGTCCTGGAGTCTGAGGGTCTATAAGGGAGGTTACTATTTATATCACAACAACAGACAAACAGCCTCCTCCTTCTCCTCCTTCTCCTTCTCCTCCTCCTCCTCCTACTCCACTCTCTCAGGTCGAGTGTCTGTGTTCCTGGACTCTGAGGCTGGATCTCTGTCCTTCTATGAGGTCCTCTCTGATGGAGAACTGTCCCACCTCCACACCTTCACCTCCTCCTTCTCTGAGCCTGTGTTTCCTGGGTTTGGACTGGAGTATGAAGGTTCCTCTGTGTCTGTGGTGGATCTGAGGAGAGCGCCCCCTGCTGGACTGGGGTCTGAAGGTTCCTCTGTGTCTGTGGTGGATCTGAGGAGAGCGCCCCCTGCTGGACTGAGGTCTTAAGGTTCCTCTGTGTCTGTGGTGGATCTGAGGAGAGCGCCCCCTGCTGGACTGAGGTCTTAAGGTTCCTCTGTGTCTGTGGTGGATTTGAAAGAATCAAACGGCGAGCCAGCAATGAGGAGAATGCTATCATTTGACACTGACCATTGGAGAGCCCGTTTACTCGAACTACCCCAAATACCGCAGTAATTGGATCTGGGTCTATCCGTCTTTTACATATATGTGAGAAAGTGTCAAAAATTTCGGACCAAAATATGTACAAATTCGGACAGGACCAAAACATGTGTGACAAAGTCGCTGCACTTTGTTTACAACGAGTGCAGGTCGGGTCCACATTAGGGTACATTTTGGCCAGTCTAGTCTTTGATAGGTGTAATCGATTGAGGACTTTGAATTGAATTAATCTGTGTCTAACACAAATAGATGATGTGTATGTCTTAGTAATGACTCTTTGCCAAATTTCATCAGTAAATTTTACATTCAAACCATTCTCCCACTGGGTTTTCAAAGGAATGAGCGATGGAGAATCAATATTGTGAATTATTTTATATAACTGGGACACAGCACCTGGTTTTTGCAGTTTTATTGCCAAACAGTCGTCAATGGGACTATTTCCAGGTTGTAAAGGAAATGATGCATATAGTGTACGGACAAGGTCACGAATTTGGAGATAGCGAAAGAAGTGTGATTTTGGTAGCACATATTTTGTAGTCAGTTGTTCAAAGGTTGCAAAGCTACCATCAAAAAATAAATTATCAACACATTTTATGCCTTGTCTGGTCCATAGTTGGAAAGCAGTGTCAATTAATGATGGTTTGAACACAGCATTTTTAATCAAAGGCATAGAAGCCAAGGCTTGTGTGCATTGGAAGTGTTTACGAAATTGAGTCCAGATGCGAAGACTTGATCTGACAATTAAGTTATCTGTGTATTCTGCCACTGGTATCGGAAGTGGGGCGCATAACAGTGACGCTAAAGACACTGATGTACAGGAATGTTGTTCCATTAAAGACCAATTTGGACCGTCACCCTTCAAATTTAAGTTATACCAAATGGATAATTTGAAGATATTCGCAGCCCAATAATAATACAAAAAATTTGGAAGACCCAAACCACCATTTTCTTTGCATCGCTCCAAAACCGCCTTTCTAACGCGGGGCAAAGACTTATTCCAAATAAAGAGACTTATGTACCCATCAAGTTCTTTAAAAAATGACTTAGGCAAAAAGATTGGTATTGTTGTAGACAGGTACAGGATTTTTGGTAAAATTACCATTTTAACCGAGTTAACTCTGCCAGCCAGAGACAAAGGAAGGGAGGACCAGCGATTGAGATCCTCCTTGATCTGATCCAGTAATCTTTTGAAATTGGCCTGGAACAAATCATTATAATTAGTAGTGACATTAACACCCAAGTATGTAAATTGTCCTTTGACAATTTTAAAATTATACAGGTCAAAATTCTGTTTTCTTGCCAAAATATTAATGGGAAACAATGTACTTTTTGTGGTATTGATCTTACTGTATATCCAGACGACTCACCAAATTGTGAAATAATTTCCAGACTCTCTGGGATTGAGGTATCTGGTTTTGACAGGAATAATAGCAAGTCGTCCGCATATAGTGAGACTTTGTGAACCATTCCACCCCGTGAGACCCCTTGTATGGAATTGTTATTCCTTAAAGCAATAGCTAGCGGCTCAATAGCGAGGTCGAAAAGGAGTGGTGACAGAGGGCAACCCTGCCTTGTACCTCTTTGGAGGGTAAAATAAGATGAGTTGAAATTGTTTGTTCTCACCCTCGCTTGAGGCGCCGAGTACAGCGTCTCCACCCAAGAAACAAAAGTTGAGCCAAATCTGAATTTGTCTAATGTCTTAAACAGATGACCATATTCAATCGAGTCGAATGCTTTGTGTGCATCTAATGACACCACAACTTCTGGAGTTTTGGTAGAGGTTTTGGAGTACAGTACGTTGAAAAGCCGTCTTAGATTATGAAACGATTGCCGGCCTTTCACAAAGCCTGTTTGGTCATTGTGTACAATTGTTGGTACAATTGGTTCCAATCTTAGTGATAATATTTTAGTAAGAATCTTGTAATCACTTGTGAGCAAACTCACTGGACGGTAGGACTCACATTTTGTCAGATCTTTATCTTTTTTGGGGAGAACTGAAATGGTGGCCTGGGTCATTGATGTTGGGAGTTTCTTTTGTTTGAGGGCTTCCCTGTAAACTAAGCATAATAAAGGAGTTAATTTATTGGCGAAAGCCTTATAAAACTCGATCGGATACCCATCGGGCCCCGCCGCCTTCCTATTTTTCATAGATTTAATAGCTTTCCCGATTTCAGTTTCTGATATTGGCGCCTCCAAAGATTGTTTGTCTCCTTCTGCTATAATTGGGAATGTTATATTATCTAAAAAATCATTATTACGCCAGTTATTTGAGGTGTACAGAGATGAGTAGAAGCTTTTGAATTGATCATTAATGTCCTTGGTATCCACTTTAATTTCCCCATCTAACGCCTGTATTCTTCCAATAAAATTAGTTGCAGAGTGTTGACGCAGCTGGTATGATAATAACCGACCGGCTCGCTCACCGTGTTCATAACAGTTATGTCTGGATTTTAAGTATTTTTCTGCGGCTTCTTTAGAGGCTAGAAGGTCAAATTCTGTTTGTAATGCTATCCTTTGTTTTCGCAAATCCCCTTTAGGTGTAACAGAATGCTGCTGGTCAACATCCCTTATTAATTTGATCAACTCTGTAAATCTTTTGGTGCGAGCTTTATTAAGACGGGCTGTATATTCTATTATTTGACCCCTGATGTAGACTTTCAGGGTTTCCCAAAGTGTGAAAATATTTGTATCTGGTAAATGATTTGTGTCAAGAAAAAAATCTATTTGTTTTGAGATAAAGTCTACGAACTTTTCATCAGATAGTAAGTATGTATTGAATCGCCAGTTGCATTGATGTGGTAATCTATTCTGCAGATTAAGTTCTAAAATAACTGGGGCATGATCCGAAATTACAATACTTTCATAATCAGTTGACCTAGTCAGTGGGAGTAAGTTTCGATCTATTAGAAAATAATCAATTCGAGAGTACGTCGGATGTACTGCCGAGAAGAAAGAGAATACTTTGGAAGTCGGATTTTTAAAACGCCATGGGTCAACAATCCCCGCAGATTGACAAAATGTGTTTATGGTGTCAGCAGACTTTGATGGCGAGGTTGTTGATATTTTAGATCGATCAATAGGTTGGAGGGCAGTATTTAGATCCCCAGCGAATATGAGATGGTGTGTGCCCAGTTCTGGTATACGCCCAAACAAATCCTTGAAAAAATTTTGAATCATCCCAGTTGGGAGCATAGACGCTGATCAAGACCACTGGTTTATTATACAGCCTTCCTTGTACAATAATAAATCTCCCATTTTTATCACTAATGACTTTGTTATGGACAAACTGCACCTTTGTACCGATCAGAATTGCTGTACCACGAAATTTTGAATTTAGTTCAGAATGGAAAATCTGAGATACATTACTCCTCTTCAATTTTTGAATATCTTTTGTGCGAAGGTGTGTTTCCTGTAAGAAGATTACCTCTGCTTTCAATTTATTGAGATGAGAAAACACCTTGCTCCTCTTCACTGGGTGATTGAGTCCCCTCACGTTCCAGCTCACCAATCTAGTTGGTGGACCTATCATGTCACCAGAAGCACGACAATTTTGCAGTAGTCTATGTGGACGTATCTATAAAGCAGTTGCATCACATCGCCAGCCCTATAGAAAAGGGAGAAGAGAGAAAAAGGAAAAACAGAAAAGCCAAGAAAGAAAAATAGCACAGAAGTCACCTTCCCCCCAAAACAAACCCTTTGCTGCTGGTCCCTCCCAAAGTAAGAGACTGCACCCCCCCCCACCTCCCAAGCCACTATGAAGCATCTAAACTAAGTAAGAACTTTCCTAACCACTTACCAAAAGTGGCTGAGATCCTACCTAAACCTTAAATTAATTGTAGTTGAATAATTGTCATAGAACACCAACAAGACCCACAGATACTCAACCCTGTACCCGTACAAAACGAACACCCTAACTTCAGAGAACTTGAATACTCAAAACGTAAACAGGGGTGGTATATCAAAATAAAACAAAATGTATGAGAAAAAAAAAAAAAAACTGTAAAATAAATAAAAATAATAAAATAACACCTAATTAAAATGTTTTTTTTTTTTTTTTTTTTTTTCCTCCCCCTTATTACCCTTTCCTCCTCTTCCTTCCTCCCTCCCCATTAAATATTACTCTGAGTCATAAAAACAAAGGAGAAAATAAAATAATTACCAAAAAACTATCCTCACGTTATCTTTGGAATAATATGACTTAAAAAATACCTTGCAAAAATAGACAAAATGACAATAAAAATAAACAGAAACCATGAGTACTTACAATCTTAATGATATGTTTGTGCAAACATGAATGAGATCGTACGATCTTAGCAACGGAGCATGAACCATAATATTCGTTAATGTCAACAGTACTTTACGATGCATCCATACGTCATGGCGCCATCAGTCCCTTGGCAAACGCTGTCGCCTTCACCGGGTCCGAGAACATCTGCTGCACGCCGTCGGGGGTGGTGATCTTCAATCTTGCTGGATACAAAAGTCCATACTTCACCCCTTCGCACTGCCTCAGGATCTGTCGCGCTGGTCCGAACGCTGCTCTCTGCCGTGCTACACTTTGCGTAAAATCCGGGAACATTCGGATAGTGTCCCCATCCTTAGAGACGAGTTTTTTGGAGGCAGCCTTTCTCAGAATTGCTTCTTTTTCCTGAAAGTAGTGGCACTTCACCACGAATGCTCTGGGTGGCTGATTTGGCCCTGCTTTGGTTGTTTGTGGACTGGTGCGGTGTGCCCTGTCAATCACCGGAGGGGTTGCCAGATTCAGGACATGTTGCAGGAGTTCAGCAATGAACGTGCTCACTTTCGCACCACCTTCACGGCCTTCCTTT